AATTCTGATATTTCAGAAGTAGGGAGCTGTAGACTCTTGTTTTATTAATTTTGGTTAAGAATCCTGGCTCTGCTGCTTGAAGATTTTGGCTCACATCTAACTTTGCCAGTTACTAGCTCTGTGGGCTCTGGCAAGTTATTGACTTTCTGTGCAGTGAAGACACTGCAGTTTCCCCTCTGGCTTCCAGAATTGAATGATTCTTTTCAAACAGAGCCCCTGGGGTTGTCCTGCTCCTGGGACTGTCCCCGCTAGAGTCTGTGGGGTCCTGCACTCACAGGCACTGTTCACAGGGGTGAATGGTCTTTGTTTCACCCATCACGGGTCACTGGACCAAGCTATAGGGTGTGTTTTACTTCTGATACTATGGATTGGCCAAAAGGTTCATTTCGTTTTTTTCTGTATGATGGCTCTGATGGTGCTTAGTTGTCTTTAACTAAAGACAACTAGTCTTTAACAATTAAGCACTATTTTGTTTCATTCAAAACAATTTTGTTACATTGTATTATGACAGCTGTCATATCAGTGTGCACTTTAAGATTTTATTTATTTATCTATTTTTAGAGAGAGTGAAAGGGAGGGGGAAAAAGAGGAGAGAAACATCGGTGTATGAGAGTACCTAACTGGGGACCTGGGGGCCCGCAACCCAGGCATGTGCCCTGACAGGGAATCGAACTGGTGACCTTGTGATTTGCAGGCCAGCACTCAATCCACTGAACCTCACCAGACAGGGCTCAGCCTGCATTAAAAAAAAAAAAACAACTTATCAAAATTGATGCATTTTTGTGTAGCCATTTTAATATTGAAGATAGAAGAAAATGCTCAACATTTTCAGCTTATTATGTTTTAGTATTCCAAGGAAGGTAAAAATGCAACCGAAACCCAACAATATTTAAAAAACAAAAATGATTCATTGCTCTTTAAATATTTTAATTTAAAACCATCATTTATTTAAAAAATCCCATGAATAGGTTTTTGACAGCCAAATTTTACATTGTTCCTTTGTTTTTTGACCTTTCAGTCTGTTACACTCCTTAATAACAGAAATAGGGATAGAAATTGAAACTAAATTAAACTATTTATTTCCTGCAACAGTAAGGCCCCAAGGGCTAAAGAAGTTTATTACACTACTTCCACCAAGATGGAGGCATAGGTGGAAGCACTGTGCCGCCTCACATAACCAAGTTTAAAAACAACAAAGTTTTAGCAACAAAAACGCAGCCAAACCACAGAAAATTGAACTACATGGAAGTCTGACAACAACGAACCCTTCAGCCAAACCAGTAAGAAGGGCAGAACCAGCAGCAGAGCAGGGTCAGCCAGGAAACATCCGCCAGACCGACCCAGGTGGGTGACCCAGGCGCTCCGGCAGCCGTGGGCAGATCCACTGAGGGCTCAAGGCAGTGGACCCACTGAGGGCTGATTGCAGTCACACATTCACACGCAGATAAACCGGTGAAGGAGCGAGCAGTGAGACGGACCCCAGTGGCAGGAAGCGGCAGGAAGCGGCAGAGGGAACCACCATTGTCCCTCTCTGACCCCGCCCCCACATACAGCATCACAAACCAGCGACCTGGGTGGCCCCACCCTGGTGAACATCTAAGGCTCCGCTCCTCATACATAACAGGCACGAGCAGATCAAAACATTATGGCTCAAGAAGAACTCAAAGCCCCAGAGCCCATAACTCTGGGGTGATCAGGATGCTCACAGAACTGGTTGATTATAGTCACAAATTAGAGCAACATATGAAGGCTGAACTAATTGAAATGAAGGGAAACACACAGGAAACCAATAGTAATGAAAAGGAAACTGGGACTCAAATCAAAGGAGTGGACCAGAAGCAGGAAAAAAAATGACCAAACAGAAAAGGATGAAGAAACAAGAATTCAAAAAAAATGAGGACAGGCTTAGGAACCTTCAGGACATCTTTAAATGTTCCAACATCCGAATTATAGGGGTACCAGAAGGGGAAGAGGAACAGCCACCAGTGGAAACCTTATTTGAACAAATAATAGAAGAGAACTTCCCCGTTCTGGCAAAGAAAATGGACTTCCAGGAAATCCAGGAAGCTCAGAGAGTCCCAAAGAAGTTGGACCCAAGAAGGAACACACCAAGACACATCATCATTACATTAGCCAAGATGAAAATGAAGGAGAGAATCCTAGAAGCATCAAGAGATAAGGGGACAGTCACCTACAAAGGAGTTCCCATCAGACTGTCAGCTGATTTCTCAAAAGACACCTTACAGGCAAGAAGGGGCTGGAAAGATTCCAAGTCATGAAATCCAAAGACCTACATCCAAGATTGCTCTATCCAGCAAAGCTTTCATTTAGAATGGAAGGACAGGTAAAGTGCTTCTCAGATAAGATCAAATTCAAGGAGTTCATCATCACCAAGCCCTTATTATATGAAATTTTAAAGGAACTTACCTAAGAAAAAGAAGATAAAAAAGATGAACAGTGAAAGGACAGCAATCTGACAGTTATTAAGAACCACATCTAAAACAAAAGCAAACTAAGAGAATAGCTAGATCAGGAGCAGAACCATAGAAATGAAGATCACATGGAGGGTTAGCAACAGGGGAGTGGGAGAGGGAGAAGGGGGGAGAAGGTACAGAAAATAAGTAGCATAGATGGTAGGTAGAAAATAGATAGGGGGGAGGGCAAGAATAGTATGGGAAAAATCTAAAGAACTTGATGTGGTCATAAACTAAAGGGAGGGGAATGGTGGGGGAGTGGGTGTGCAGGGTGGAGGGGAATGAAGGGGGGAAATAGAACATCTGTAATGGCATAATTAATAAAATATATTTTTAAAAGTTTATTACAATTATAAGTACACAGTTGAACAAAACACATAATGTATTACTCTCATTTATAATGAATTCTTAATAACCCAGTATTTCGAACGTATTCTTCAGATAGATGTGGATTTAGTTTTAGTTAATTGCTGAACTCATGACTTATTGTTTAAAATGAGACAGGATTCAGCATTGGTTTTATTTCTCTTTCTAGTTTTTATAGTTTTAAGTTCTGAGAAATGTTCCCATAAATAAATGTGTGGGAGAGGAAAGAGTTTCTCAGGTCTTCAAGTTACATGCCAAAAATTGTTGTGGTCTATCATCAAAAATGATTTTTGATGATCTGTGAGCCGAATATTTAACTAGGTCCTGTCTGTTTTGTTGAAAGCAAAGAAGGGTTTGCCAGTGGGTCACCAGAGGCATCGCTGTATTTCAGACTGGCCCTGGGTTTGTACCTCAGGTGTTCATTTCCTGGACGGACAGTGCACCTGAGTATAGTCAGAGTGATTATAATTAGAGCAAGGATAATTAGAGTGAGAGGTAATTTTTTTAAAGTGGACCAAATAAGTTGACCTCACAAGGAGAATAATTTTTAGAAAATAATACATTCTGAAAGGTGAGGATCTCGACATTGAGATGCTGAGAGCTGCCCACACTCAGGAACCTCCTGGAAGTCTTGGGATACCTGTAGGGCTATGTTTATTCCAACATGAAGCAGGTTGCCTAATCATTGTTAGGGGAAAAAGTATAATTAGGGGAAAAAGTATAATTAGGGAAAACAAGGTGGACATGAATAAATTTCAATCTGTGTATTTCCTGTGGGACTTCTCCCACCTTCAGTGTGCTAATGCCCATGAGGGGGCTGCTGTGTGGCTCATCAGCAGAACTTCCTTACTGACTTGCTCAGGGCATGGGCACGGGCATGTGCATGGATGTGGCATCCTGGGGGATGCTAGTGTTCTGCAGAATACACTTTGGGAAACACCAGATGCAGGCACACCTTTTTGTCTCTTTCAGTATATGAGAAGCATGAAATCATCACCTGCATGTGACCAAGTCAGAGGCCACCTGTGTTACTTGCAGAGTCCTCAGGGTTTGGTGGTGACTTTAGATGTCACTAAAGAGCAAGTAGAATAATTGAACAAATTACTTTTGAGTGAAGTGTAGTGGATTGTGCCCTTATTTTTGAAGAACACCCCATGTCCCTACAGTTTACTTGGGCAGGAAGAGGTCTTTTTGTGCCCTGGTTTTGGGAGGGGACAGCTTTGTGCCTGCGGCAGTGGGCTAGATTTTCATGTGTGCTGTTTGTTGGCTACGTGCATCTTCTCATGTAAAAGCAGTGCTTCCCCATGGCTGTGTTTTGGAGAGTGAAATCCAAGAATGACACTCTTCAGATAACATTGCTGTGTGCATTGAGTGGTTGTTCTGGCACTGACCTCCGCAGCAAAGCAGACTCTAAAATTCCTGGGGCCATGAGCCCTGAGGGCTAGAAGCTAATGACTGAGAAGTCTCAGTGAGTGTACCTCTTGAGACAGGCTATTGGCTACAGGTGAACATAGAGTGTTACCTCTAGGAAGGTGCCTGGTGAGGGTTCGCTTCTTCCCTGTGATCATTTTCCTTCAAAACAAAATCCCAAGGCCCCTCAGTCACGGTTCCCACACTCTCTCAGTGGAACCTGGAGGTGGCCAGTGCTGTCTGGCCCACCCACAGTCCCTCTGCTGTGTTTGCCCTTTCTTTCCGGAGCAGCACTAACATTTTGGCATAATATCGATAAGTACAGTAGTTACAGAAGCCAAGATTTTTCATGTAGGACTTTGTTGGGGTGGAATGAGTAAAAATATCAAGCTGCTTTTCATGCAAGCATGCTACTTTAGAAACCTTATTTATTGTGCATAATTTGTGACATCTAGATTTATTCTGTATAAAGATTTAAATATCCCTTTCCTGTATTAGCCCATTGTACAAACTGAGAATACCAACAATGAGGAAGGTTAAAGTCTGTATTTTAAAAATCCCTGTCTCCTGTTTATTCTCTGCCCAGTGTAAATTATTTATTCCTTTAAATATTGTTTCTGCTTGGAGCCACCTCCCTTCTGTAGTGCTCATCATTGGGAGCTGACTGTATTGAATTACTCTTATGCACTCTTACAATGAATGTTGTTGTTTTAAGGTCTTCTTTTTCTTTGTGATTCTTTTGTTCCCTAGCGTCGTCCCCCAGACTACAGTAATACTCAACAATGATCGGCAGAACGCCATTGTAGCCAAGATGGAAGACCCCTTGAGCAACAGGGCACCGGATTCCCTGGAAAATATCATTAGCAAGTCAGTAGCCACAACACTATTCCCCTTTTCACTGCCACTGCCACTGTGATGAGTCCCCTTGAGGACAGATCAGTGCTCTGAGCTGGGCATAGTTGGGCATTTCTGTCCTCACGTGGGTTGGGCACATAGGCACAGCCCACAGTTCTTTGCGGTTGGAAGGTCTGTGTCAGGCTGCAGGCTGAGGTCCTGCCAGGTGAGCTGGAGAAGAGCAAGAGTGCGAGGTTACAGAGAGGTGGCATTTGGACTGTTGTGTCCAGTGTAGTGTGTGGTATTGGGACATTGTGCTGTGTTTTCACAGCAGTCAAGCCCTTATCCTCTTACCTGCTCACGGCTTACTCACATCTGTCTGTCTGTCTGCCTGCCTGCCTGCCTGTCCAATAGCATGTCAGGTGAACAGACATCCTCATGTACATTTGCTAAGTGGTGGAGACATTTTGAGGTGGTGGCTTTTTCTCACACCTTTTTCTTTTGAGACATTTTGAATGTGACCTTTGCCAGAGATGGGAGTGCATAAAGGGCACTGTCGCCACCCTGGCATGATGGTGAAGTGTGCAGCAGGTGGCCCGGGGGGCTCAGCTTTTCCTGATAAGGTGTCCCCAAGAGGGCACTTTTGCTTTTCGTTTCCTACCCATGTCTTCTCAAAGTTCTGTTCTGCCTTTTCTCTTAGTCTCTTTTTCAGACTGTCCCTCTTCCAGCTGTGTCCTATTTTCTTTGTTGTTGTACCCGGGTCTCTGGGAGCCCAGCTGTGCTGCTGAGGGCCTGTGTGCTGGGGCACAGAAAGACAGGGTGGTGAAGTCTGGGTGTCTAGGTGTCTAGGTGCTCAGAAGCGGAGGAGGTTTGGCAGGTGGAGAAGAGGCAGGGTCGGGCAAGCTTCTGGAATGGCTTGGGTGGAGTTAGCTATCAGAGTCTGAGCCTTTTAGACAGGTCTCTGTGGAATGGAGAAAGTGTAATGCCCTTCTTCGGGTAGGGCCAGGATTCAAAACACGATTTGATGTGTAAATAGGGAAATTTTGCTTTTCTCCTTTTTCTCAGTGCATAGCAGTCCACATGAAGGGATGTTGAAAGGGTCCTTAAAAAGGCAGTAGCATGTCTGTGGATAATCTTTTATTTTCCTTTTTTGAGTACATTTTGGAGCGGGACTGTGTCCTGCTCTTCTGGCAGTATCTCGTTGCTCTGTGCAGGACTCCTGGTGGTGGTGAGACTAATTCTGTTGGAGATACTTGACTGGCTTTTTATTTTTAGACCTACTTCAGTGTTTTTGTGAGTGGGAATAATTGGGAGTGATAACTGCATTTTCAAAGGCCGAATCATTTCTAGAATGTCTGGGTCAATGGAAGTCTCTAGCCAAACTTCTTCTTAATTTCGTTTTTCCTTTGAGATAGCCTTAACAGTTACTTTTCTGTGAATGTCAACATTTGTAGGGATATCTCAGACGACAGCATGTAGGCCTTGCGTCACAGAAAGCTGTGATTTTGCTTCATGATGTAAACAGTTTTTTTAACATGGAAAATAAGGTACAGTTTCTTCCAACCTTGGACTGTTTCCTGGCACTAAATGGCTGTTAATCTTGGTAGAAGGAGCTGCATGGGAAGACTGTGGCCCACCGCTCCGTGCGAAGTTAGTCTCTGACCAGGGAAGGAGAGAAGAGCACGGCAGTGGCTCGGGCTGGTCTCTGCTGGTCCGCCGCACAGCTCTCACAACATTGATGCTGTTTTTGTTTCCGCTCAGCGCGGTTCCCGGGCGTCGGCAGAACACCATTGTGGTGAAGGTGCCGGGGCAAGAAGACAGCCACAACGAGGACGGGGAGAGCGGGTCCGAGGCCAGCGACTCAGTGTCTACCTGCGGACAGTCGGGAAGTCAGAACATAGGGAACAACGTCACCCTCATCACCCTCAACTCAGAAGGTGCGCCCCCAAAGCCTCCCTTCATTTCCTGAATAGCAGTTCACCCCTCGTCTTAGAAAACGAATATGTGTTTCTTTTTAAAAACTGATGAAATATAAAAATGATAAAGTGAAACTAACTGAAAAATTTCATATCCAGAGTTCTCTGTAAATCTTCTGGGATTTTTCTGTGATAACATACACACTGATTTATGGTTTTGTAACTTTTTCCTTTACATGGTAGAAGTCTTTGCACGTTTATACAGATTTACATAATCATTTTCAGTCCATTTCATGTATTTAATCAAGTTCTGGAGGCTTTCTAGTGATGGACAGTTGTAATTTTTATAACCGGTGGTGTAACTGCTAGTTGGCTGTTGTGTTGGACACAACACAGCAGAGGCAGTGGCTAATCGGGTCAGGCCCTGCCTCTCTGATCTGATGAGGGCCTGACGTAGACCCTCAGGGTGATTGCACATTCAAGTCTGGTTCGTGCCATAAGGTGTGTCAGCTCTTCCAGGGAGACTTCGGGGGAACAGCGTGAGACTAATAGTATTGGCCTGTAAGTGAACCCGTTTTACCCACACTGGGGTTTCTCTTTCTTTTTCCTCTTTTGCCAAGGCCACAGGTGCACTCTCCCCTGTCCCCTGGTCAGTGCAGCTGGCCTGGTGTGCCCTTCGAAGGATTCTGCCTCCAGCTACTTCTGTCATGCCTTCGGGGGCTGAATTAATGCTTCCCACACAGTGCTCACTACAGCGTGAGGAGAAAGGAGAGAACTCAGACAAATTTAGTGTTGTTATTGAGGTCAAAAGTCTGTAATTTATTAGTAGGAACTTGTGAGGTTTTTCTGCTTCTGTGGCTAAGTTGTTGATTTTTCCCCAAAACAAAAGGTAGATGTTTCTACTGAACAAATATTTTCCTATTAGAAAGACTTGTTACCATGTCTGAAACATTAAAAACAATGTTCTTCTCAAAATTTTCTCTTACATAAATTGATTGGAGTGGGATGGCAGAGTAAGTGGGAGAAAAGGGAACTATGGGCAACTTCTTTTTAAAAGTGAACTCTAACTTGCATATCATAAACTGCGTTATTTTAAGTCACACACTCTAAGTGGTTTTTAGCGTGTGCACAGAGCTATGCAACCATCACCAGATTCCAGAACATTGTCATCGCTCTGCAAAGGAACTCCAGGTAGTCGCTCCCAGTTCTCCCTCCTTGTAGCTCTTGGCAGCCACTAATCTGTTTTTTTGTCTCTCTGGATTTGTCTATTATGGACCTTTCATGTACAGGGAATCGTGTAATGTCATCCACATTGTAGCAGGCATCAGTATGTCCTTCGTTTTTATAGCTGAATAATATTCGACCACATGGATAAGATCACATTTTGTCTATCCATTCATCTGTTGATGGCTATTTTTCAGTTGATGGAAATTTTTCAGTTAGTTTCACTTTATCATTTTTATATTTCATTGTTTCCATTTTCCCACTGTTATGCATAGTGCTGCTGGGAACATGTGAGTACAGGTTTTTGTGTGACGGTGTGTTTTCATTTTTCTTGGGTACCCAGTCAACCCAAGAAATTGGAGTGCAATTGCTGGGTCAGGGCAGTTAGTTTTTTTACACATTAAATTTGAGGGAAAGAGAGATTTGATTTATCCTCATGAGTGTTGTATTAAATCACATTTGCACGAATTGCTCTTACTCTTTTTTCATGTGGACTTTGAGTCAGTACTCACCAGATCTGGCTACTGCTTCAGGTCTAATGTTTGTTTGGCTTAAACTGCATCATCTAAAGAACATAATATTGGATACTTTGGGGAGAGTCTGGGGTTATATAAAAGCAAAAAATTTCATCTTTTAAATTTATGTTTCTTAATGTGATTGATAAATGTAAAATATGTTTCAGTGGAGGGAAACAATAGATTGAAATTAAAACGAACATACAAAAAGAAATAAAAATTTGAGCATATTAGTCCTATTAGTGCCTGTGAGAAAAAATATGGATTTTTTTCATATCTGTGTCTAAGTTCTTTAAATATGAGGTGATACCCTTTGTGTAGAACATTTTTCTTTAGCAAAGCCTTTGAGCAAATTTTATAATGACATTTAAAACCTATTGTTTCCCTCTTTTTTTTAATAAAAGGAAAAAGAAAACATTGTTTCAATCAAACATGACTTTGATGTACAACACGGATTGTTAGGATTAGGGCAAATTACAGAAATCTTTCTGATTTTAAATTTTATTTTGAAGAAGAGGTGATAATTCAAGATCGTTCTGTTTTACCATTCCATTAGGAGAAACATTTTGTGATAAATATGTTTCACTGACACCACCCTTGGGGAGATTTCCCCCAGTGGCTTCAGTGTGACAAGAGCTTGGATTGAGCAGTTTTAGTTGGCGCAGTGGTTTAGGGAAAATGACACAGTGGCAGATGGATGGAGTCATCTTTAAGTCACTGCTGTGTATGTAATGTTGGAGAAAGAGCTAATCCATTAATGTCTCTTGTATCAGATTTACTGCTGACCTGCAGTGGCATCATCTGTTCAATATTTCTGGGAGATTTATGGACGCACTGAAGATCGGATTAGTTGTCTCCTGCTGTGCCCTCCCCAAGACTAGAACAACTTGTTCAACTGGGGAGAATGTCAAGTCAGCTAGTTTATATTAAAGAAACATTAATATGCAAGTGCTAAAAGGCCATAGGCTTGTCTTTAGTTCCTGATTAGGGCCCAGAGCTATAACAAGACAGATTCTTATTTTCATATAAAAATATTTAAGTGCCTGAAGTTTTAGAGAACCACAGGTGTCAAAATGGTTACTTCTGAAGAATTCTAAATGGTTTGCATGAATTGACATGCTGTTTTATATCAAATTTGGAGTTACTTTATTATACTGCAAAGGTACTATATCATTTTATCCTCGTATTTTGCTGAGGCAGTTCCATCTGCCATGGCATAAACTCCAGTAAAACAAGAAAAATGTTCTTGTTCTAACTTCTGAGAGCAGTGAATAGTAAACTTATTCCCTACTTTTTACTCTGTCTATCCTTGGAGGTTTTGGTTTTCATGTACTTCTATTTGTATCAAGTACAGAAAGCATGTTGGGTATATTCCTTCAAAGAGTAAGCTGGCTAATGAATTAGACAAATGAGCAGACATGGACCAGAATGACATCTGTTGATTAATAAAGGGGTTCAGTTAGATTCTTAATGAAGAATTTAAATTTTTGTTATTTATGCATGTGATAATTTTCAGAAAATTTGACTAATGCTGTGCATAAAATGTTGGGTACTTAATTTTAGTGGGAAGGTTGTACGTCAAATGTAATTGAATTAATATTAGAGATTGGCCTCATGAATGTTCCAAAGCCCAGAAAGGAAGCTGGCTAATATGGTGAATAGCTGTGATGTGCTCAGTGAGGGTGGAAAAATGCAGTTTGGGAGAAATGGTTCATTTGTGAGGGGTGGTCAGTCACAGTAATGGAAGGCCAGGTCATGTTCCCCGGGATGTTCATGGTGCCCGGGGCTGTGAAGTAAGGTTAATACAAATTGCTGGATTCATAAAACATCAGCCTTATAGGAGAGAAGTTTAGCCAAAAACATTTCTTGAAAATTTATTTTCATAATTTGTTTTACATAAACTTATTTTTACATAAGTTTTTTGTGTGATAACATTAAAACACATTTTATTAGTGGTCATAAATTGGCTACTAAGAAGAATAGGATGATAGGTTAGTGACCAAAATAAAATGAAGTTAACAAAGAGGAACTTGTATAAGAATGTCAGTGGATGTTTGAGCATAACCATACAGTGAATGCTGCACTTCTCCTAGATCAGAGAAAAGGGTGGGGGGGGGCAGCCTAGAACAGTGTCTGGGAGGGCAGCGTCATTTCAGTGTGTCTCATGCTGAATTTCAGAATAGACAGCATGTGACACTGATTAGGGACATCCTGTCTGTGCCCAGGTGTGACCACTCCTTCAACGCTTGCTTTTTCATGGTTGAGCTCATGACAACATCTGTGCTAAGCAGGCAGAGGTTCACAGGGAAAGATGCCTGCCTGGCCCCACTCTGCTGTTGAGGTTTGACCTCCTGGCCGTCCTTGCCTGAGTAGGTGGCCTTGGCCTTGGTCAGTGGTGTGTGGTCATGCTGTTTCTCTGAAAATACACTGATAGCAGCAGGAAAAGCATTGACTCCACTACTAAGAGCTGTTTGTTTTTTCTATTTCCCTGTATCATTATCCTCTATGTAACTCAACCTTCTTGAATTGCCAGTTAAAACTCCCTAAATTATCAGCCTGCGTAAAGCTTAAAGATGGCACATCACTCCCAATAAGCATGTGCGTTTGGGCCACAGGTACAAAGTTATTGTGTCTGAGAAAGAGCAGTCCAGAGACTGGCTTGAATATAGATTTAATACTATTTTGGAAATAGCTCATAAATACCTTGTACTCCATGTATTAATGTTTTACCCAACACATTTCCTAAAGTAGCTCCTGTGACTGACCAGCCCTGCAGCCCTCGGAGGCACGATGGACAGCATGGTTCTGCAGGTTTAGAGCCCCAGGTACAGCAGGGCAACGGCATAGAGGCCTCTCTTGTAGCCTTTTCTAATTGTTCCTTTTTAAGTTTACATAGCCATTTGTGTTCTCTGTGCTTCATGACACATTGCAACCAAGTAGTGGGTCTAACAGCACTGTTCATTATCTCACAACTCTGGAGGGCAGGAGTCTTTGCTCACAGGCTCACAAGGCCTGAGTCAAGGTGTCAGCCATGCTGGACTGGTATCTGGGGGTGCTGGGGAAGCTCTGCTTTCACGGTTATTTAGGGTGTTGGCAGGATTGGGCTCTTCCAGTTACAGGACCAACGTTCCTGTTTTCTTACTGACTCTTGGGCAAAGACTGTGCTCAGGTTCTTGCCCCTCTGCCCCTTTATTTTACAATGGTCTTCTCTCATGTCAAGTCCCCATCCCGTCTGCCACCATCAGAAAAAGCTCTGCTTGTGCAGGCCTTACATGATTAGGT